GACGAGGAACTTTTTTTTTAGCTCATAGGATGTGTAAAATACTCTTTTTTAATGTCGATCGCCGGATATTGTGTGATTATTTTGACGTTGTTACTCGTATTCTCCACAATGACGCTCGTCGCGATGATTTTGCGTCTGCGTCCAGTTCGCGGTTGGGTTTCCAGGAGGGCGTCAGATCCTCGCCAAGTACCAAAAATAGGCCTGAGACGATCGCAGGAAATGAGACCTGAAAGCGATTTTTCTAAACAGCTCGTAAAATGCACGCGAACGAAAGCCCGTCTTTATGGACACGCCACGGGGTGGGACATATGTTTAAAACAAAGGAGGCCCCACAATATCGCTCAGCGTGGGTTGGGGTGGCCACCTCACCCCCGACAGTCACACCTCAGGTGGTGCCACCACCCACCCCAGACCGCATCAATGTGGCCCATTCTCTTACCCCCACCCCCACCCTGCCCACCGGGTGTTTTAGAAGCCACGCGGCCACGTAATTATTTATTTGACGAGTAGATTTAAATGAATGATGTAACGCTTGCCGCTGCAGCGATGAATGACGAAAGGGTGTTTAACATAATGACTCGTGTGTTTCGCGAGCGTCATGCTAACAGCGTGTGGCGGCAGGGGGTAAGGTAAAGGGTGTGTCACGTGTAAGCGAGGTGCCGTGTGTCCGCAGGCAACACTATCGATATTTGTGAAACACTTTACCGTTGATCAAACGCGTGCTTGGAATTACATTCAGAGACAGAAAAAAGGGGAGGGAGGGGGGACGCGTGGAGAAGCGTACGCAGATTAATTACGTGTTGCCTACGAATTTGGTTTGTTACTAATTAAGGGGTCCCTGTTATAACACCCAGCTTTGTTTTAACGAGTCACGGCGCACAACTCAGTAGTTCATTCTAGATTTGAAGTTTTCTTCGTGACTGCAAGGATCCATACTTTTTTTTTTTTTCGGTAAAGTCACGTAGATAAAACATATAATAATAAAAAATAAAAACAACTCAATTAAATCACGACGTTTCGGAAGCAACACAAGCTTCCGTCTTCAGGTGGAACCGTAGTTCATATCGGTACCGTATTTGGCTGCGTTTTAATTTGGGATTTGTCCGTTAGAATCGAGTCAATCTCATTCCCTGCATTCGCCGTACGGACTTCGCTACAACTGTTTCCCATAACATTTGTTTAATTAAAGCCATTAAGTTACTTTCATGTATTTTTCTAGACAAATTGGCCAATCATCTTCTCGCCGCTACACTTTTGGTGCATATACTCTGCATTTAAGTCACTCATTACGATGTTGCAATGCGCGTTGCTCCAATTTACCAGTTGGGAAATGTCGTCATACATTTAGTCTGCTGCGTATATCATCGTGGTAGTGTATTGATGTCGATGGCTCAATTGTCAGGAGTGTACGACTGGATATGTAAACAGTCAACACTTGGGCCACCCTGCTCCTTGAAAACACCAGAATCTGTCCTGCTCATACACACGTGGGCGCGATGTCTGTTTAGCGTTAATCGGATACAGTATTTTCAATTGGCGAGGTTTCTATGCTCGAAATTAAACCTATGCACTTTAAGTGATATTTACGGTTTTAGTTTAGGATTATCTTTTTTTCATTGACCAGATGAAAACTCAAGAGGCCAGGATATTATCGTCTCATTGGCAAGAACTGACCTGGATCATCAAAATGGCAAACGCAATCAAATAAAAACAAGTACAAGAATGTCGTCATTATAAAAAACATCGTCAACCGGTGAAGGGAAATTTCATTCAAACAAAAACATACATTTCAAACCTGTACTTTCGTTATATTTGAAATAATAAAGCAAACAACGCACGCACAAAAGACTCCCGATATGCAAATAACCCGTACGTGACGCATTGTCTGAGTGCATATGAAACGAAGCATGGCCGCATCCCGGCTTATTTTGCATGCCCTTGGGCTCTTGTTCGGTAGGAGCAAGGGGAGGGATGAGTGGAGACGCGGGGAGGAGGAGGAGGGGGGGTGCTGAATGGAGGGGTGGCCGGGGATGCATAGCCTACTGTGACTCCCTCCCGTGGCGGATAAAGCGATGATGTCATGGATGTGAGCGCATCTGTGCACAGTTAATCACGCCGCCGGTCAAGCGACCCCTAAACGGTAGCGGGGAAGCGTCGCACATTCTAATGCATCGAATTGCAAATTCTCCACTTTCTACGGCGCTCAACACGCGCGGCGTATAGACTGCGGTCCGTAGCTGTGTGTTTGTTGTGCACGCGCTGCATATACGGTACACACACTAAGGATTGCACCGTTCATAATCTGTCGACAGTGCGGAAACGATGTCAAATCTAAGGTACGTCCGATGTGGGTTATGCATGCATGTGAATGGGCGTTAATAACCGCAGTCGTCTCGAGTGTATAGTTTTTCACAACGTAAACAAATGCAATTGTTTCTCTCGATTCAGCAAGAATTATTCAAATCAGTGCAGCGTTGTGCCGTGCACGCGCAATGATGTAATGCTTACTACGTCATCCATCCCTCCCACCAAATGTCCCCCACCACCACCAACGATTCTATTGTAATGACGATGCGTCTTGTTTCAAATATCGATTCCTTTTTTTTATCTAGTCGTATGCACGCGACGCATACATCAAATAATGTGTCAGAATCTAGGTTTTTTTGTTCCAATCGTATACGTCGTAAGTAAATGAGTTAACAATCACCCCTGCAGACACGAGCGGCTTGCTACGGGACACGAGCGGCGCACATGAATAGAGGAACATTAACACACCAATTCTGATGCACATATCCTGAGTTAGCAGGGTGTGAAGTCAAAGCTACGCTTCCCTAATGTGAATGGCACGCTTAGGCTTAGTTATAATAGTGATGAATAAATGTTTGTTATTTAGCACTTGCCGCCGATGTTAGCCGTGTGTCAGGGAATCGAATTAATCAGGTCGCTTGGAACTAAACGCGCTTAATTGGATGCGCGTCGCTCCCAGCGGGTCTGCGCCCCGGTCTGCATTACGCAGTCCCGTGTCCTGATTTACAACAACAATAAAAGGCCCTGGCATGCACAACTTTAAACAACGCTTTCTTAAACTTTTTATCAAAGCTGCAACAACAACAAAAAAACACCGCATCGTGCAACGTTTTCATCACAAACACGCACAGCAACAACCAACGTCTCTGTATTAACGGACGCTTCATTTTAATGGATAACCAAGGTGAGCAAATGAAATTAGATCGTGTGGAGGCGTTCGGTGGATTTGTACATCGCAGGATCGCGAGAGGTGATGGCGGTTTGGGGAGGCTATTCATCAAACAGTTGATTGAACGTGGCTGCTGAAAATGATGATGACGAAGACGCGATGTGGAGAGCCCATCCCAAGGTGGACAATCAGACAAAATGTTACATCAACAACGGTTGAAAAGTAGGCAATCGCACAGCGATGGTAAGTAAATGTAAAAACGAGAACATCACGTCAAGCCGGCATCAATCGTCCTCGGCCATGCTATAGATCCATTGCCTCCCTGCCCATCTCGTGATCCTGCGGTGCTACAATCCACCCGGCAACGACAAGACACGCTGACGTCATCCCAATAAAAAGTCCAAATTGTCAGCAAAATTAAGAGAACAAAACGGCAAACGGGAGGGAACGCATCTCAATGCGAGCTCGTGTACACGCCGAACCATCTGCCAGGGGAAGGGAGAGGGGGGGTCGGTGTCCCGACACACACACAGCACATCTCAACGGCAGACCCTACATCAACGTGTACCTCCCATTAGCACCGTGGGCTACGCACGGTGCGAAAGAAGTTCAACATGCGAGCGTGTGGCCAGTGAACGTGTGAACACAATGAATGTATATAGAGAGAGCGAGAGAGCGAGCGAGAGCTTCGTCAAGTCACGGCTGCGTGACAAGCACTCTTCCACGCCGCCGCGCATGTAATTGGGGCTGTTGGACCATACTTCAAGCACGCTGGTCGGTGCGGGATCGTGAATGGGCGGGTCTGGATCAGGGTGCACCTGGACACCGAGTTTCGCGTTTGCATTCGTGCGTCGCCTAACCGTGACCGGGAATACAACTTTGGCTTCGTAGCGACGCGGTAGTGCCCTTATTCGCTGCGCCACCGCTTCCCGCCCGTGTGTGTGTGTGCGCGTGTGTGTCTGTGCGTGTGTGCGTTTGTGTGTGTGCGGTAGTGTAGCGGTTAGTGCGCTGCGCTACGAAACTGGCAAACCGGGTTCGATTCTCGCCCACGGCCAACACCGGTGACGATTATCTGAACCGGTCCTGGACCTCCCCTAGGTCGACTCAGCCTAAAATTGAGTACCTGGTGCGGTGTGTAAACATCGCCACTAGGGAGACAAAGGCGGCCGGGCGTGGTGTTGGCCGCCCACCCCCTCGTGTGCCGTGCCGGCCTTTATAGGTGCTTGCTAACAGCACTTGCCCCTACAGTCTGTTAAAGCTATAGGGGGATCTTTGTCTTTGTGTGTGTGTGCTACCAGCGTGGGGAGCGGTGGTGTAGCGGTTAGCGCGCCGCGCTACGGCTCACGGCCAACACCACGGTGACGATTATCCGAACCGGTCCTGCGCCTCCCTCTAAGTCAACTCAGCCTCGAACGAGTACCTGGCGCGGTGGGCTAAACATCATCACTGGGGGAGACAAAGGCGGCCGGGCGTGGTTGCTCTCCAACCCCAACCATCGCACCCCCCCCCCTGCCCGCCGCTAACCGTCTGCCGAGGGCTACACGGGGGACCTTTGCCTTTGTCCCAGGCCACCAATGACCTTATTAGCGGCCAGAGGTGACATCATCGCCTGCCTGCCCGGGTCGCTCCACGCCTCCCCCCTCCCTCCCTCCCCGCCCGTGGCTGATCCTCGCTAAGTCGACCCCTGCTGCCCAATGGGCTCCGCCGCAGCCCGCCCCGAATGACATCATGGATGAAGCGGCGGTGATGTAATGGCTCCGCCAGCTGGGACTGGTTTCACCCCCCCCACCCACCACCACGACCACCACTGAACCCACTCGGCTCACCACGAGTCCGCACAGCTCGTCGCCTGCGTCGAGTCGTCGGCTCCGTCCGCACACGCGCGCGGCTCCACTGCGCGCGCAAAGAGGAGAAGGAGCAGGCCATTGTTATTGTTGTTGGGGCTGTTTCTAGATAGGCGTTGGTAGCACACAGCTAAGATAGACGGGCAGTCTGAGAGAGAGTGTGCGTGTTGTATTATCCATAGACAAGTCGGTCGTAGACTCGCCCAGCATCACACCTGCAAGAGACAGACAGAGAGAGTGAGTGAGAGAGAGATTAGTGAGGATCTGGATGCAGTCAGATGCGGGTAGCGTGCTTGGCTCGCCCAGGAGAATGGTCAACTGCGGTGAGGGTCAGAGCAGCGTTCCGGTGAGGAGCATGTCTTGTTCGGCCAAGAGGAAGAAAGGTCTCAAGCTGTGCTGCAGGTACGACCGTGATGATGATGATGATGGTGGAGTCGGTGTGTGATGGTCGTGGTGGGTTGCAGCGTGCCGACCGAGGACGCTGGCCACACGTGTACTCTCGACGGTCACACGCACTCGCACATTCACACGCGCACTCCAGGACGGCCACATTCACGAACGCAGCCGCACAAACCCACGGCGTTCACGCCGCACGCACGGGCTGCACACAGACGCGCGCCGCTTCACATCCATACGGCGAGGAAACTCGCGTTGACACACGAACAGCATTCGCACGCACACACGGGGTCACACGCAACACTCTTTTCTCACTCTCTTTTCCCAAGTTGGTGTGTAATGTAGCTGTGTTGAAGGAGCCGTGTTTAACTCTTGTCGAGGACACCGCGTCGGTCGTGCTGTTTGTTGCTCGCCGCTCGGGGATTTCTCGACCTCTGTGCTTGCGCTCAACGACGATGATTTAAATACAAAGATCCCCCGTGTTGTAGGAAAGTGCTGCTAGCGAGTAGCAGCACCTATGAAGGCCGGCACGGCACACGGAGGGGGTGAAGGTGGACAGCACCACGCCCGGCCGCCTTTGTCTCCCCAGTGGCGATGTTTACACATCGCACCGTTGCACTCAGATGAGGCTGAGTCGTCCTAAAAAAAACACGATTTAAGACACACACAGCCACACACAAACGCACATAGCCACGGACAAACACCCACTGCACGTACTTGCACCCCCATCAGCTGAAGTCACCAGTGACACCGCTGTTTTACAACAACAACAACAACCACCACGTTTGTAAACACCCTCTTACCCGCGTCTCAGAGTGCTCCACAAGTTTAAAGAGTCGCGGCTAATCGCCACGCTCGCGTGCATAATTTCACTCGCACCCCGATGAAATCCGCCGGGATTCTGACATACGGAGCGCAATGAATGTGGCTCTTTCTCCGCAGCCGCTCTCAATGGGTGCGTAACACCACGCACGGATTCGTCCTGTGGGCAGGACCGCCATGCGGTGTTGCTAATTCCCAATCCTAAAACGTCTGGCCGGCGTGTGAGCGTGGGTCACACACACAATCACTCACTCACTCTCAGAGACCCCATTGAGCTTTCTCCCCAAGTGGAGGCGCTTCCGTCAGCTGTGGCGGGAGCAGGCAATTGCACAACTGCGCCTTCACCCACGCGGGCAGACTTAATAGTACGACGTGAGTTCAATGGGCTCAATGTAGGCCGTGTTACGTTGTATATTCATACAATCATCAGCTGTAGCCGTTGTCACTCCACTGCTGGATGAAGTGGATCTCGCTCATGCACAGTACTGTAGTAGTAGTAGTATTATAATTGCCCGGTGTGCTTTAAATATCTGCGAAATCCTACACGGTTGTACTTTAGACCGTGGCCACGTGCTTGTGCATCTAACGCATTACCCATTACCGTCGCAATATTCCACGACTCGAACACCGCACTATGCTGCCGAACTTACAGACACACCGACCGATGATGTTGCGGTCAATTAACCCCGGCGAACGGCGCGTCGCGGCAGATTGACACCGGAAGACCTATACACGTGCGTGTACACATGCAACATGAATTTCGATTTAAAGCTTTCGTGACTGCAGGAATTCATCTTCTTGGTTCTTTCGGTAAAGTCACGTAGAAGGGAAATAATAAAATAATAAAAATAAACATAATAAAATACAATGTTTGATTTTTTATTATAATAGAATACAATGTTATATTTTTTTATTTCATTATTTCCCTTCTAATCTACGTGACTTTACCGAAAGAACCAAGAAGATGAATCCCTGCAGTCACGAAAGCTTTAAATCGAGATTGCTCTCCTTCGGTAAACCGCTGTGCACGTCCGCTTCTTCTTTGTGTTGTTTATTGCAGCTGAGTGATGGGCCCTCGTCACCTCTGCCCATTGACGTCACTCATGTTTCAGCTCTGCAGGTTAATTGATCGCAAACTCGCGGACTGCTGCGGTCACCGGGTCTCAACGTTGCCACTGGCATCTGGCAGAGAGCACTGCTGATGAGACTCAGAAGGAGTCGAAACCCGATACGGAGTGTTTTGTGGTTGCCATGCCTTGGACAGACGCTGCTTTGAAAAGCATCGGTGCCAACCCCAATGGGGCCAATAGGCTGATGGGCTACTGTGTAGTCAATCCACCGCTGGGTGAAGGCCTTGCCATGCCCCCCCCCCCCCCCCCATCTGACGATCCCACACGATGCAAACATCCACCTTAGCTCGCTCCATCTCCTTTCGCTGTGTGTACTTTTGAGTTTGTGGCGGTGATGTTTATTCTTTTTAGGGCCCCTTTGTTGAGGTCCCCGCGCACAAGTGTGCGCTGGGTGAAAGTCCAGCGGTGACGTAATCGAGCTGCACTTTGAACCCCGCCGCCCGAGTTCGCATCCCGATCAGAGCGAACGCTGCGGTGTTACCTTGAAGCAGTCCGTGCCCTCGACTTACAACACCCCCCCCCCCCCCCTACGAACCACGATAGTGACGTCTCAAACAGCCCACGTGATTGGGATGGCGTGGAGAGGCTTTCACCCACCAGTGGATTGGCAAAGGGCCGTGGTTATTTATAAATACGTAAAAAAGTCAGCACACTCGTAAACAACCCAGCCTTAAAAGATATAATCAGTGACGTTTTCCAAAAATTTAGCCTTTTATCATAGCACACAAACAAGAGGCAAGAGATGTTGAGTTATGAGGGTTGGAGACTGCGCTTAACACCGCGAGGCCTGTTGTGAATGAAACTTTATAATTAACATGTTTATGTAAATCAGTTTGTTTCGTCATTATCTTGATCGTTGAAAGATTCGTCTGGTGCGGGTAACTTCATATGCCCATCTCACAACTGGTTATCATCAGCCCCCCCCCCCCCCCCCCCCCATGGTGTTCGGTGCATTCTCTGACCCCTCGTTAACCGCCTCTTTGGCTCTGTTTATGGTCTATGAAGAATGCCCATTGCCTGAAACGGCACTGATTTGAGTAATTTTTAAGGCATTATCATTGACGAGATGTGTTGATGTTTTTGTTGGCCGTGCTTTTTTGCACCACTGCCAGTGTATGAATGTTGTACTATACGAATGTAGTCTGTGCGAGCATTGGCCAAGGGTGTGTACAACTGGTTCCCTCCGCAGGGCTTCATAATGAAACCGCCATCACATGGCAGTAAAATAATCATGTGTGTCCAGTGGTGGATGAAGGCCTTGTTCTTCTTCTCACTCTGAGTCAGTCACGCGTGTTTTACCATACTTCACCAACGCCTTTCAGTGCGGCTTTGCTGAAGTAGAGGGCTTGGGGGGGGCATTATCAGTTAATATATCAAATGTTAGCCATAGCCGGGAATCCAACTCAGGCTTTGCAGGGTTCAAGGCCTCCTGGGTTCACGTGCCGTGCACGAGCCACTGTGCTGTGGTGGCAGTAAAAAAAAAGGCCCCTCTGTGTTGACTGGCGATCGATGTGGGTCTCTCAACACGTAACTTTGTTTGAATTGGTTTTATCGTTTATTTGGGGTATTTTAAAAAAAACCTGTAACCTATGGCATTTGTAGAAAATGAAAGTGTGCAGAGGTGTGGAATATCCCCCGAGGTGCTCGTGTTTTGAACGTGTACGCGCGTCAATATGCCAGTCGGAGAGTGTGGGGAAGAGAGTCTCTATGCAATGCCGCTGTACGCAAAGCCTTCTGCTAGTTTGTTTTGTGATCTAAAAGTTTTGTGTTTAAACTTTCGGCGGGACAACAGCACGCAACATCCTGAACCGCGGCACCTCGTTATCGGCAAACTCTAAACTCAGCGGCCCGATGATGTAAATGATTGTCATTGTGAGCCGACTACAATGATGCCGATTATGTAAAGTGTGGATCTCCATTATGTTTCCATCAAGTTATTATGAAAGCAGCGTATGTTGCATTGTAGCCGCGATCATTATAATAGTGGGGGTGCGGGGAGAGGGGAAAGGTACTAACTTTGGATTGTGAACACTCTTACACTTTAAACCCCCTTCATTGTAAAACCCACCAATTACGTCATGTTGCGTGTGTGCTTTCTAAAAGCAGGCCTACTTTTAGCAATTATCACCTGTATACTTTGCTTAAAAGTCATGCCTCGTTTAAGTTCACGCCATTTACCGTCATCTTTGGCCTAAAGCCTTGAAAAGAAACTAATATTTAGACATTCAAAACCAGACAGATCCATACGCGCACAGAAATGAAAACAATATTTTTTTAAAGATTTGCAAACCCCGTTTTGTGATGATATTCCACGGCAGGAGGGCATAGCTGGGCCACGCTAAATCCATGGGGCAGCGCTAAGCTCGTAAAAGCTGCAAACAAGTTCCTTTGACACAATTGTCAATGTTCTTTGGTTCTTTCGGCAAAGTCACATAGATAGAAGAAAAATAATAAAGTTAATGAAAATAAAATAAACAATAAAAACAATAATTAAAAACTAATGTAGGCTGTAGCCTGGTTTTTAATCGGAGTGGGTGTACTGGCAATCTCTAATGTGGACTGTAGCCTGGTTATTAAGTCTGGTGAGTGTACTGGCAGTCTATAATATAGACTATAGCAAAGGTTCTTAACCTTGGTAAGTGTACTGGCAGTCTTTAATGTAGACTGTAGCCTGGTTATTAAGCTGGTGAACGTATTGGCAACTTATAATGTAGACTGTAGCAATGGTTATTAAACTGAGTGAGCGTACTGGCAGTCGATGATGCAGGCTGTAGCCTGATTATTAAACTGAGTGAGCGTACTGGCAGTCTATAATGTAGACTTATTCTGGTTCTTTCAGTAATGCAAATGTAATAAAAAATAAAACAACAAAAACCACGACGTTTCGATCACAACACAAGCGGCCGTCATCAGGAAAAGGGGGGTTAGCCCCTAAAGGCAAGCTGTTTATAAAGGTTTAGAGATGGGCGTAACCCAAGTGTGTCAGCAGCATGGGCCGGGCAGCTGATGTCCATGTTGGAGAAAGCAACGACACCTGCAGTAGGTGTAC